ACTTAGCAACAGTACCAAGATGTTTGGGATGTGTTTCTCTCCTCTGTATGCAAATTGTTACTTCAGGACTGGCCTACCACAACACCTGAACTAAGAATGAGGAGTAAAGTAGTCGAACGTATCGACAACTTCACTTATCTTGGAAGTCGGATCAGCCCTAATGGGTCGGTGTCTGACGAAATCTGTGCACGAATTCAAAAAGCTCGTTTGGATTTTACCAACTTATGTGACCCATGGTGGAGGGGAGATATCCGTCTATGAATTAAGGGACCGGTATACTGCTTGGCAGTTTGTTCTACTTTACGGCTGCGAAACGTGGCCATTAAGGGTAGAGGATACACGTAAGTTACTAGTATTTGACCACAGACGTCTTAGAAAGATTTCTCGCATCCGCTCTAATCACCAGGTAAGTAATAGTGGGGTTAGACGCAGAGTATTGGAGAGTGATGGCAAATCGGTTGATGCGGTTGTGAATCTTCATAGACTGAGATTTTTGGGTCACGTGTCACATAATCCTGGACACCGGTTACAGACATATTAATATCGCATTGTAGCTGTTGTTTACTGATTGGTCGAAACATTCCTTTCCCTGGAGACGTGAAATTTCTAGTTCGATTTCCTTCTCCTACTGGGTTACACGTAACCTAGCTAACTCTAGTTGTATCAGGTTATTGGTTATGGGTTCATCCTTATAAAACTGGTTTTCATCATAATCTGCCATACGATGGGGTGATAACTCTGAAATCTCATCAGATTTATGGTACATATTGGAAGCCATTTCAATGGGTGTATCAAATTTACTGTTCGAAAGTTTGTAGGAAGTAATTTCTTGCATGTGAAATTCTAAACTATTCTCTTGACTGTCGAACCCAGAGTCTTAGCTTAGCCAAAGTCAGAATAAGTAAGCTACTTAGCTCGATAAATTTCATCTGTTTCTAAAACGTAAGTTAACACCGTTAGTATTAAAAATAAATAATTAATACTGTCTCTTAAACAAGGAAAAAGAGAGAGATAATTAACTTATGGAATAGTAACTACAGGATGAGAAGAATGAGTCAACAAAGCGAACGATACGTCATGACAAACATAAAACTGTGATTGGTGAATAAGCAAAGCACAGTCTTCACCATTATTTGCTCTTGTGTGTAGGATAAAAGTGCTAGGTGGTCTGAGAAGTTCAAATCGCCTAGTTGTCGATTGTATTCCGTGCTTCCTCTCAGATGTCAGTCTTCATAATCCAGTCAACCACTAGAAGAGTGACAGTAAGCAGCTTTGTGTGACTCCGCTCCTCACTTTGAATGAGTCTGTCAGCTGTCCTCTATGCACGACTCTGCAGCGTGGTCCGTAGCATGAATTCTGTATGGTGTTGACGATCTTCTCAGCTACTCACATCACAACGTCTAAGAAGGTTCCGTAAGGTTCTCCTGTCCACGCTGTCAAATGCCTCCTCATAGTCGAGGAAGTTGAAGTATAGTGACGAATTCCACTCCAATGATTATTCAACGACGGTCCATAGTGTCGCGCTTCGGTCTGTGCACGACCGATTCTTACGGAATCCGGTCTATTCATGTAGAAGCTGGCTGTCTACTGAACCTTTCATCCAGCTCAGTGACACTCCGTTGAAAACGTTTCCTTCTACCGATGATAGTGTGATGCTTTTTTAGTTTTCACGTTTGGTCACATTTCCTTTCTTTCGTATCTTGATGAAGTATCTTTCTTTCCAGTCTGTCGGTAGCACTTATCCTTCCTAACAAGTCTTCCTGAATAGAACGTGCGACACGTTCACAGTTGCTTCCATGTGTGACTTCCGTGCTTCGACTTGCATATTGTCAGGTCCCGCTGCTCCTCAATTCTTGATTTGTCTGATGGTCATCCCGATTTCTCCAGTCGTTGGTGGATTGACATCTTCAGCGAGCTCTGTATGTGCTACTCTGATGTCCGATGGATTCAATGGGGCTGGTCTGCTCAAGAGTTCTTCCAGGTGTTCTACCCACCCATTCCGCTATTCCTAAATCTCGATGGTTGACTTGGCTTCTTTGTGTCTGACTGATTGGTCTGGTATACAATACTTACCTGCTAGTTTCTTCATTTTATCATATGGTTGTTTGATATTTGATGCTTTCGCGACTTTTCCCTCTGTCATTGTTCGGTTTCAGTTGGTCCTTCTGATCCCCCACATTGTCTGGACATTTAGTGTACCTATAATTATTGTTGTTCTGGTTGTTGGAAAGAGTGTCAGTTTTATGACCTCCGAAGTATCTTGGTTTTCTTCGTTAGGTGTCATAATTCTTTTAAAAAATAATTCAACTTTCAAAAGAGAGTCTAAATGGTTTAAAGTGTTTTCTGGTTGGCGTTTCTTTGTCAAAGTTGTTTCCTACGGAATGGGGTAGCTGACACCATGTCCAACTCTCCCCCTTTCCCCGGACTTGAGACCGGCATTAACCCTAGAAGAGCTTCAGGCAGTTATACAGTCAATAATAAGGAGCCAACTTTTTAATACGTTTACAATAGTAAAATCTCTCATTATTTTTAAAGAACTAAGGAACTTTCTTTTTATTGAAATTCAAGAATCAAACTCTTCTATTAAAAGCTAACATTTAGGAATTGATGTTTGTTGTTTGTTCACGAGTATTTTCTTGAGATATTTTTAGTTAGCTGAGTACAGCGATCTGTACCCTACAAATTACTTTCCAAAACATGAATAAAACACCACTATGGCTTACATCCGAATAGATAATCAACTCATTATAACTGCACATGATCTTCTTTGCAGAACGAAAAAATATTTCTGCTCAGATGGTATTTATTCGGTGTGGCTATTTTTTAAGTTTTATGTCGCCACAGAAAATTCAGAATTTTGTCTTGAAATGAGTCAGATATTCTGATTTTGGTCTCTTTGACTACAGATAACAGCGTGTTGTTTAATAAAACACCCGTGGTATCTAGGTTTGAAAAATTAATGAACATCATAACTGTTCAATTGGTTACTTTTTATCCTAATATTTAAACAAAAATGTTGTCGAGGATTAACTTCATCTTAGTGACATAATCAGCTGTATTCATTAGGACAACACCTGAACCTTTATCCGGTTGTAAAATCATCGCCTCATTATTTCGTTTGATGTTTCTGAGGGCTATTAGATGTTCTTTGGATAGAATATTCGACTTTGGTGTTGATGACACGAAGTATTGGTTGACAATATCAACTAACTTTGATTTGAACCATCCTTTCTTTTCCTCATTCATTGGCTGCAAATCTTTTAACTGGTCAAATAGATTTTCGAATTGAGCTTCTGTATCAATCCTGTCAGTATTTGGTTTTGGTATATGAAATTTGAGTCCCAGACTCTGAACAGTGCAATCACCAAACATCTCCTTGATACAGGACATCAGGTAGATACCTTGCAATCCTTTAGGGTGATTAGTAAGCAGCCAAACTCCAGTCTTCTGAAGTTTGCTGAAGCCATTGCCATCAGGCGTCAAAAACCTGACCTATGTATTCAAAAGGAGACGGTGGTTAATTTTTCCTTGCCCTGGTGACAAATATTCCTTCACTGCACCATAGAATTTTATTTATCAGTATGGGGGTTGTGGAGATTGTTAAGTTTTTGGTTGAGATCATGAATTAATTGATGTTAGATCACCGTTGGAAACCTGGAAGCACTGGACGGCCGTTTCGTTCTAGTATGGGACTCCTCAGCAGTGCGCATCCACGATCCCGCACCCCGCGGGATTCGAACCCAGGACCTACTGGCTTCGCGCCTGAGCACTTAACCATTAGACCACTGAGCCGGCATCCAATGGTATCTACCTCAGTACAATGGAAGTTGGTCGCGCAATTTCGTGGATTGGTTGATGTTAGACACTAACACCAATGGATGCCGGCTCAGTGGTCTAATGGTTAAGTGCTCAGGCGCGAAGCCAGTAGGTCCTGGGTTCGAATCCCGCGGGGTGCGGGATCGTGGATGCGCACTGCTGAGGAGTCCCATACTAGAACGAAACGGCCGTCCAGTGCTTCCAGGTTTCCAACGGTGGTGTAACATCAATTAATTCATGATCTCAACCAAGAATTCTATTTATTTATTTATTTTTTCTCTTTTTCATTTATTACATCATTAACTCTATTTTATTTTTTTTCAACTATCTTTAAAATTAATAATCTTTCAACTGAACTCTACTCACTACATTCCTTCAATGTTATTCATTATGTAATCGATTGTTTCTAACCCACTTTTGAACTGTTGTCACAATTAATGTTGCAGAATATTCTTTCACATTAGGTATATATTTACAATATTCAGTTAGCAATTTAAACCCATTATGTAATTATGATTTTTAAATATCACAGGTTGTAAGCAGCTGACGAGAACCTACGAAATAAAATGAATTCATGCTATTCTGGTAGAATCTTTGTTCTTGCTCTTTTCAAAAAATGTTGATATTCGTAATACATACCCAGGAATCAGGAAAAAATCACGACCTTTTCCACACAAATACTGACAATATTCTGTGACAAAAAAACATTTGTAATTTAGTGTCTCAGAAAATAGACTTCTTGTCTCTTCGATAGTTATAGAAACAGGATTAGAAGTTGTAGCTGTCAGTGTACATTGGTGACGTCATGTTTATTCACGGAAAGATCTGCTTATTACCTGTCAGAAAATGGTTAGTTTTAATTTATACATTCCCATGTTTACTATGGGGGTGAGAGAATCAGATGTCATGATAGTGTATACAACACGTGAAAAGACACATCTTTCTTGGGCACGACTGTTGACCTTGAGAAGTAGGCTAGAATGCACATTAATTTAGACCAATGAGAACTTACATGTAGACAGGGATAATTTCCACTCTGGTCAGTCAGATGCCGTGCTGAGAATTTTAGGGAAGACAATCAAGAGATGATGTAGGTATGTGTTACGAACATTACTACCTAGTAAATCTTGTCAGCTGTGGTTGAATGAAATAATCTCATACTTTGAATTTACAACCCTATCAGCAATGTATCTATTTTACAAGATGTGAGTATTTATTAACAAATTGATTATTTCCCATAAACCTATTTTTAAATATATTTCAATAAATCGATAGTTTTACATCAGCTGTCCACGAATCAGTTTGATGTCTTAAACTGGATTTGTGTAGTTTTTAATGCTTGATATGTGATATATTTTCTGAAATTTAGTAGAAAATTTTTCATGTAAGTGGCATATTGTACCGAGATGCATTAACTTTATTTGATTTTTCTCTGTGATCACAAATTGCCATTGTTACATTACCATAAATTAAAAATACATTTTTATGACTTCTATAGATATTTCAGAATAAAGTTATTCTAAAGGAATACATTCAACAAGCAACTGAATTTAAAACTTCAATATTTTCATATCCCGATGTTTGTGGAAATAACTGTCGCAGTAAATTATATATTATCACATTTATACACAAAGCTTCCGAGACGTCGAGTTGATAGTTTCGGTGAAGAACTTGAAAAGTATCTTCTAGCCAAATTCCAACACCATTGGTACCCTAGTGACCCACTTAGAGATTCTGCTTATCGGTGCATTAATTCTGTCGGTCCCCAGGTAGATCTTCTACTTCCTGAAGCAGCAGCTGTGAGTGGGTTAGAATGGAGTGAAATAGAAACATGTCTTCCAGAAGGTCTCATTATAAGTGTGGATCCAGGACATGTGGTGTGCCAATACACCCAGTCTAACTGTACAGGTCATGACAGATTCCTTTCGAACCATTGGCCATCATCACCAATTTCCTTATCATCATCTGGATGTTCTTCTGCATCTTCTATCTCATCATCCAACTTGACAAACTCATCTCAGATTACTCACCAAGTTCTTTACAGTTTACAAGGTGGATGGATTACAAACAATACAAATATGTTAGATGGAAGTAAACGAGGTCAGTTTATAACAAAACTTAGACGTTTCGAAAATGATCATGGCGATTTACTGTCTACAGCTGCTGCTTTGAGTGTGTTAGTTGAACCTGATGAAGGAATCGACACCAAATTTGAGCCTAATACAATGTATGGAGTAAACTCCTTAGCTTTGAACCATTCAAACTGGAACAATGAATCTTCTGTAATCAGTACATCTGTAATAAATCAGGAAGAACTTTCTAGGACTGAACCAAATGAATTTGATTTAAAATCTATAAATCCCCTACAAGCTGAAATGTATCATGAGAAAGAAATGTCAAAAACAATGAATACTTTTCCATGGGGTGTTTCTGAAAACGTGAAAGAATCTTTTTTATCTATAACAGGTAATGATCCGATTGGCGGAACACCATCAACAACTCAGTCTGTTATTTTCAATGCCAAAACAAATACATTCCATTCATTTCATCGTTCCTCCTCTAATCCTCCTCATTCAGGTCAGTTAACAACAACCCATGGTAAAGAATCTATTGCACTGTCAGCAAATTTTGAAAATTCAAATGTTCTGTGCTCAAAATCTGATCAACCATTCAATCAAATGTTTACAAATCCATTACCGAAATCATATCCAACATACATACAACCTCTTAATTCATCACATCCATTCGTTCAAAAATCTACATCTACTCCAAGTTTTACAGCGGCTACTTTTGCTCAAACTAAATTTGGCTCAACTAAGTTGAAAAGTCATCCAAAACGTACACCTACTCGTATTCTTTCCCCAGCAACTGTACAACAAACTATTACAGCTAATGAGAATTTCTTATCAAACGATAGTGTTCTGACCAACTTTTTAACAAATAACCAGGTAAATAATAATGACAGTTACAACATTCACTGTATTATTAATTATTTTTTTAATAAATAGTATGGTTTTCAGTTTGTAATTAAGATATCATGACTATGTACGGAATATGTCTAACGTTACTGTGTAATGATGTCAATATTATAAACAATAAATTATAGAAGTTTGTAAGTTTACGAGCTGAGCGTATTGGGAAGGAGTAAGTTTAAGTTATAACAAATCTGTTTTCTTTTAAAAAGATACAGTTCAGTGATATGTATATTTACTAATCGTTATTTAATCTATCTTAAACCTAAAAAGGTATATTGTTTTACGATTCTTCATATTGAGTAATAATTAATCTACGTAACTAATTTGCCATAAACAGCTTTGTGAACTTCGCGCTGAACTGAACTGTTCCCTAAACCTAGATGGGATTGAAATCTGAAACTGACGCATAGAAAGGTGAAAAATTTAACAACTAAGCTGTCATTTGATTTACACTCAAATACACGACTAATATCTGATTATATGCTGCTTGGGTGATATACAGTATTTCGACTAATATTTATCATAAAAAATAAAAGTCATCAGTGATGTTTGGTAGTCTGAATATGTCAGATATTTAATTATACGATGATCTGCGTAACTATGACACTTCTTTGAATATCACATTAATACAGTATCGTTTATTTTTGAGCATAGCTTCATCATTATTTACTAAAGTCAGTAGTCAGTCATAAACAATGTAAAACATGGCGTATATGTGTTTTGGTCCGAGGTGCTCTATTATATTAGCTCAGAGCGATAAGATTATCAAGTCAAATGGTAGAGTATTAGAAGTAGTAACAGTTTCAATGAAAGTAGAAACATCTAGGCTTAGACATTATAATCCAAGAAGAAAGAATGAATTCATGTAACAAAATAGTGTAAGATAATTTTAAGAATCAAGATCTAAGGGAAGACAATGTATCTGCACCATTTTGACGGATTCTGAGCCATAAGGAATATGTCGTCAGACAAATAAATAATTTTATTAGATATTTTTCTTTTGTTAGTAAAATTGTTGAAAATGTGTAAAATTTCAGGTATAAAAGTACGGAAGTTATTTTGTGAATTTTGATTAAATAAAATTGACACTTTTACATCGTTATCAAAATTATTTCTCAATCGTTTATGCATCCTAAACATCAATCTTACGGGGATGAAAAAAACTTTCTATTGTATATTTTATTAGCTACTGTCATACATCCGATGTATAAATGAGGAACAAATTTAAAACACTGATGCTCTGAGTTTTATTTAAGTATAAATAATATTGATAACTATATGTCTGAACTAACTTTAATCGTTCACTAAATTTCACACTGAATAAGTGAAAGTTAATATTTAAAATAATATATCTTATTGCTCTATGTGGTTGTATCGAAAAGGCTGTTAATGTTCCAGCTGAACAATGAAATTATTCAGGTGTATAGAATGCCTAGATGTATTGTATATTTCGAATAAACTTTCTAATAAATATGTTTAAGCAGTCAAAGTTATTCATGCTTTATACAGTGAACTGAGTCATTTTTTATACAATTCAAACGAGTAAGATAATCATTCATTATTTAGATAAAATCTATCAAAATAGAGATCAAAAACTTAGTATGTTGAAAAGCATAGATGTATTCAAATTTCTATGATTCGTACTAGCTTAAGAAGAGAAGGATTAAAGAAAGAAACCAAGAAAATGCAGTTGATAAATTGCTATGGAATTCGTAATAAAACAAGTTATCATATAAATTAAAAGATATAGAACAGTACTTTCAAGATTTAACAGAAAAGAAAGTGTTATGTCGTTGTCATAACCGACTTCATATTGCATCATCCTAATTCTCATCATTGGTTTCCGTTGACTAGTGAATCTCTACTGGGAAGTTTACATTTACACATATTGTTCAGACACTTACTAAATTTGTCGACTGAACTTCAGTTAACATTGTTAGTTTTAGTTGGGATTGCTCATGCTTGGATAAAATATGTACTACTCATTCAAGGTGACGTAAGTCCATTTCTTCATCAAGTGAATTATCTACTAACGTTCTGTACCCTACCTCGGTTTCCACATCACAAATGATTAATACCTCATATTACCACTAATCTTCAGATCGTTGGTGACCTTTTTTGTACAATAACATAATAATGGAGGGTAAACCATCTCAATATAGACTCTTCCATTAAAAGTTATATAAACTGGAGATGGGTTCGTAAATTTCTACAATTCCTCTAATGAAGAAAGTGCAATTCCGAACTGTTGTAACGAGTGTGTGACTGCAGGGTTTGGATACGCAGCGTTTATTTATCGATCGCGATCTGTGACAGTGACACGGAAAACACGTAAGGATGACCTAGTGCCCTGATTGGCCCTGCTTCGCTGTCTAGCCCCAGCCAGTTGAGTCAAGAACACAAGTCACAGCCTCTGGTTATGAATCATTATATTTCAAACATACTTTGTTTATATACCAACCAAGCATACCACATCGTACCATAAAATAGGAAACAACATTTACAAAATATTTAACAAGTGAAATAAACATCGACCAATAAGAAATGTACATTTAAGGTTCAAGGACACCATTGGACTTAACATGATAATTATTGGTCTCTTTTTCCGACTATCCTAACACGAACTTTATATCAAGTCATTGACTATTCGTTTTACCTTTATACTTTTTTACTGAGCGCAGTTTAAACAAATAAAAAAAATTAAGCTATAAGTTAGAAGAAATCCTAGTAGCAGTCTAAAGCTCTAGCATAATCATAGTAACCAACGGAATTAACTTTCAGCTAGGTAGACTAAGACAAGTGGAAAGATACCTAGGTATCGGTTTGGGAACTTTTTGAGTATGTTAAATTTTGAAATACAGCATTTAGAGATAAATCAGTCTTAAAGTTTATATATTGATTTATAGTGAATTCTGTTTATTATCAGTGTGAGATTGTGTAAATTGTTGAGTTTTTAATTGAGATCATGAGTCGATCAATGTTAGACCACCATTAAAAACCTGGAAGCACTGAACAGCCGTTTCGTTCTAGTATGGAACTCCTGTGTAGTGCTCATCCACGACTCCACACGCGGGACTCGAACCCGGGAACTACGGTCTCGCTTAACCTTTATACCACTGAGCCGGTATCTAACGGTGTTATTGTCTAACTTCAACCAACGTGATCATCAATGTAAATCAAAATATATTCTGTAATTACTTTCAAAAGATAAATATTATATATAGTAAATGTTAAACTGGATCTTTTCTGTTTTAACTACAGCGTTTCGATGCATCGAATTCATCAAACATGAGTGCATTTAGAAGTTTTTTACCAATGAATATTGATATAAATACAACTAAACAAACCGGTTATATAACAATGAATGAATCGAATATTTCTGATCACAATGATTATCTTAATATAAATTTACATGAAAATGGGAATTCAATATCTGAAATGAAATTTCTACCCATTTCATTTCATCAAAGAAATACATATAATCGTAGTAATAATAATCACATTAATAATAACGATACTTTTTTAATATCGAATTTAGAAAATTACCTATTAAATTCATCGGAAGATACTAGTCCAAATAGTGTTTTGGAGAGGATTCATTTGAATGAGGTTAGTTTAATTGATATGATGTATTTTTTTATATCGTTTACTTATTCAATTGCCACTTACTATACTAGATGATATAGAAGTGTGTTGCGAAAGAAGGTTAGAAGCTGCTGAAGTAAAATATTGTCAGTTCATAAAGTCCTTAACTGTTGATCAACATCTTATCAAAAAGGGTGATGGCTATCTAAGTTGAGTCAGCAAAATAATCGTAATCTACAGTTGAATATTATTTATTTGAACACAGATATTGTCCACTATTTTATTTAATCTCCCGTCCCTGTACTGACGTATGATATGGAAAATTGGATAGAAGCACATCTGTACCAAGTCCTTCGTCATTGATAACTAACTAGTATCAAATGGGATTAATTCATTTATTTCATGAGAAAGCGATTATATCAAACAAAATATTTCCAAGTAACACTGCAATATCTGGCTGACATTTCTAATTAAGAACCATTTTGGAAATAACCATATATCCTTTGTAAAGCTTAACTAAATTTTTTAATGGTAACTTGAGTTGACCACTTTAAGTTTATGGATGAGATAAACAAGTTTCAGGATGCCTGAGACAATAACACTGAGTCATATCTACAAAGAGTACATACACGGGAAACAACGTAATCAATTAAGTTCAAAAAAATTATCAAAAGCAGATAAGAAAGTAAAATAGAAAATACTCTCTATTAGAATAGAACTAGTATTCCTACCTATGTTTTCTAAATTCATTTTTGGATAAGAATGCTATTAATCAAGGGAATACAATTATATTTAGCTATGAAATATTAAAAATGAGTGAAGCATATGCCCTTTGATTCCTGTTCGAACTATCATAGAACTATATTTTCCAATTTCTATCATACTTCAAAGACACGCGTCATGTAAATAATGAATCAATATCAGATGGGTTTTTGTGGAGATTGAAATAATGAATCCCCAAAAATCAACTTATGTGCTACTCTACATTATTCAGTGGTTTTATAGGTAGATTTGTTTTATTAATATTAATGGCCAGAAATAATTATTCAATATTCATGTCAAAATAATTTTTTACTCGATATGAAATAATATGTACCAATAAAATGTGATCCATCCATTAGTTATTCAAATAAAAGAATGATACTTAATTGATTCTTCTACTATATGTATAGAAAGACTAAAAAGATCCATCCATCATGTATTCTATACTTCAGTAAATATTTAGAACGGCTGATATTTTGTTCTTTACTGTTTTTAATGCACGAATAAAACGATATATATATATTCAACAGTTATTTTTAAAGTCACAGAACGTAGCATATAACATAGTTCAGTTGTACTTTTACTTAAGTTCTCATACATTTTAACAAAATAATCATATACAGATATAAAAATAGGGGCATAAAACTTTCTTAGATTTATAGGAAGAGATTTTAAGGGAAAGAGAATAAGCCGATTTCAAATGGTAATGAATACAATAGTTACAAGTAATTACAAGTAAGTTTTATCATGATGGACTGACATCACGAGAAAAAAACTATTGAAAAATTGGAAGGGATTGGATAGTTGCTTCTTCGTAGTAATCCGAGACTTAACAATTGAACGCAACAAGCCAAGTTCATAATCCCATTATTATTATTATTATTATTATTATTATTATTATTATTATTATTATTATTATTATTATTATCCACTATAGTTAATGAATAGTTGGTTTACTATCAAGTGTATTCTTTCATAAGAATCGTAAACGAAAACAATAGCATATATACAATATTTATTTGTTTGTTATAATACTTCATTTATCGATAATCTGTGATTGAAAGTACCAAAATTTCTAAAAAAATATAAGTTTTACTGTTTTCTTTTCGGAATTCCATTCAATAGTTATTAGTCGATTATCACAGTCTATTGATTTCTAGTATTGACAAAAAGACCAAGAAAACGTTTTATCAATAACTGCTGTGACCTTGAGTATATTTAGATTTTGGTTTGTTTTGATGTTTTTTCTCCCAGCATAAAATCTCAAAGTTTGCCTAGTACGAAGTTGTTTCATTTCCCAGAGCCAAATCATTTAAACGATACTCTGTACTTTTGAAGTGAAATTTGACTCAATGTAAACTAAACTCGGATGGATTATAGTGTTTATATTAGTGAGAAGAAAAGCTTTTCTACAAGTGACTAAAGTCAACTGGGGGGGGGTGGACACCAGTCAGTACTTCACAGATGTTTAGCCTAGTTTAAAAACTCCAGAATGTTGGATCCCTCATGGATTCATCAAGGCTTGGATCTGGGGTCCAGCCATCAACACATCCGATGATCCAGACTTCAAACTAAAACGAAAGAAAATAGGACAAAAACAAATTGAACACTTCCGTTTATAAAATCTTCGTCACTAGATTGATATCGACGTAAAAATACAACCAAACGTGATGCGTATTTTAATTGTATTCCCTTGACAGTTTAGAACAAGTTAAGAATACTGTTAATTGTAAGCTTGGATTAGATATGATTTCGCTCCATAAAGTCGTGACAACTACAGAAAAGCCATTTAAAATTGTGATTAATATTTAGGATAACAAAATAAATGTGTATAACATGCTCCTCCAAATAGCATTGTGATCAAATAACCTCCTGGTTATTAGTAAAAGACTGTAGCCTATTAAATGAACTAACTAGAAAGTAAAACAGTAAATAATTTATCAATGATTTTGAGTGAAAATTACACTGTATCACAAATATGACTAACGTTGAAAAATAGGCTATTGTATTTTCATTTATCAACTTAGTTGTATTGTATTATCTTTATGACTAGACTATTTCAGTTTTCATCCCTTGTGCACATGTGTACCTGAACATGTATAGGAAATCCAATAGCAGAATATAATATCCCTTCGAAGAGTGTCAGTTTCTCGATAAAAACCGTTTTGAGAGACGGGTTTGTATATACATTTATGTATTTAAACTATTTCATATAGGTTGCCTTCTAAAGTTAGCGTGTCATATGCCCTGATGGTGTTCTCGTGACTTTCGGGTTGCTTGATTCTGTCAAGGGTGATGGAATAGTGTATGAAGCTACTGTTATTTGCTAGGTTGAAGAAGAGTTGTATGCTATATGCATGCCAATCTGCCACGTTATAGTTCCTACTTAACGTTAAACGTTTGTACAACAATATTAATGTTCGCTCTATTCAATACCATTAATTTGATTACAATATAAAATTCTCATCACGTAGTATAAAATATTGCAACCAATTACCGTATAAGTCACTTTAAATTATTAATATTCAAAAGTATGTATCTGATAAAAATTAGTCAACAACTAATCACTTCAATTCATCTTTATATGAAAATGCTCTTAGACAAGTTTGGCTCCTATAACATCTCTTACCATCTCATAATACATTTAATGTATGAATTCCAATTAAATTACCTTTTTGCTTTTCCGAATACACAAAGCGGAAAGTATATTACCCATTGTTATGCCTCAAAGAGACAGCCGATTATATGACAGTGACTTATCGATCGGATCAAGGATTCAGAATCTCGATAGTCTATTCTGGTCCGTTGTCCCCAACTCTGCTGACTCGATCAAAAAGTCTGTGTAAGGTGTAGAAAGTGTATTCTACAGACAACAGCAGATAACAAGTCAGGCAGGCAGATCAGATCAAGCATACAAGTCAAGCGTATTTATACAATTATTTACAATCGATATTATCGCTAGCAGAGTTGGGGACAACGGACCAGAATAGACTATCGAGATTCTGAATCCTTGATCCGATCGATAAGTCACTGTCATATAATCGGGCTGTCTGCTTTGAGCCATAACAATTGGCGACTGGGTAAAAAAAATGCAATCCAAAGTCATTCTGTAATTGGACAAAATCCAGTCTAATTATTCAATCAATCAGTATCCAGTTTGTCATCAGTGTCCCTGAACGACATTGGTCATTATTCATACAGTAATCTTCATTGCTGGTGCTGATCCAAAAAATGACACTCCCTTCCGATCGATTGCAGCTGCTCTTTGAACGACATTTGGAGTTATTAGTCAAGTTCCGCACGCAGCTGCTAAGTCAGTCATGCTATGAAGATGCGACGGAAGTGGATGGATTGATATCTGAGTTACACAGTGAGCTGGAAAATGACAGCAGCCTCCATGAATCCTCGATTAACTGTACTTCAAACGGAACGGCAGTCATCCATGATGCGCCCAGTGGTCCAGAACTTTCCATTTCAGAAACATGCCCGGCAATGGATTCGAACTCCGTTATCCCCGAAACAGCATGTGCAGACAGCAACGTATCCAGCTCACGAGATCTCATTGTTTTGCCAGAAAATGTGTTCCACGCATCAAATAATAACCAAGAACCTGGTACAGTTTTGTTGGACGCCGATTATCATAATGATCCACTACTTACTAAAGATTTAAACCCTGATGACTTCGAATTGGATGGCGTTTATCCTCAATATCTGATCGATTTTACTGCATTCCCTGTGCAATATGTTTTAAAGACAATCAAATTAATTGTAATTTGGATCTAGGAAGACCCAACATTATTTCGAGGGGGAGGATAGACGCGAGAAAAATTTAAAATCCGGACATCAACTCCGGATCTCCAAAAAAGGGGAGGAGTGTTGGGGACGATAGATCCCCAAACTCATATTTTGAATTTTATCGCATCGATCAACTTATTGATTAAACGTTTAAATATTTGTATTGGAGTCAATTGATGAACTATCGATTAAATGCGCAAATAGGTCAATTGATGAACTCATTGATTAATGTTTAAAAATTTCCTATGATAATATCGATTGTAAATAATTGTATAAATACGCTTGACTTGTATGCTTGATCTGATCTGCCTGCCTGACTTGTTATCTGCTGTTGTCTGTAGAATACACTTTCTACACCTTACACAGACTTTTTGATCGAGTCAGCAGAGTTGGGGACAACGGACCAGAATAGGCTATCGAGATTCTGAATCCTTGATCCGATCGATAAGTCACTGTCATATAATCGGCTGTCTGCTTTGAGGCATAACACCCATCGAGATGCTCCCGTATGAATTTATCAGTAATTATCTCATCCGGTTTAAAGATTATTTTATTAGAGCATTTGATTACACTGAAGAGTCATTATGCATAACCGAAAATAGAAAGATTCATAGCCTCATTTCTATGACTAGAAAAGAGATGGGCTAAAAGTTTGAGCAGCTTATTGTTAAATTGTATTTGATATTAAATGGTCAAATCCGATTGAGTAATCATTCATAATTTCTGAAAGTAGTCATGAAATTATTTGTTTCAAGGGTGATATATTAATGAAGTGTTGTTTTATAGTTTGTTACTGTAACATGGGAATGTAGCAAAAATGAATATTTATTTTCGTAAGCATAGTATATCTAAACGTTTAGGTACTTTTTGTTGTTAGTATGGGGAACAATAACTTTTCTGCCGAATATATAGATATATATATATTTCCATGTATACTGTTTAGGTTCAAAATGATGGTCATACTGCAACGAGTTATTGGCAATCATCATTTGAAAAGCATTTACAATCTACCAATATGACAATGGTAACAACAGATGAAATGGATCTGAAATCAGACAATACAGATTTTACCAATTTAGCTGATTGCACAAATTGGAATAATAATTATTATTCATCAGCTAATAGAACCACATTTAATCATGTATCGAACAATTTACTTTTGGACAATAATTTCAAAGGTAATTTAACAGGACTATCATCAATCTGTGTTTCCAGTCCTGCTGAACAGCATCAGATCCAGCAACAACAAGTAAACATGAAAACAAACGAAAATTTAACCGGTAGCATTGAAGCACCGACATCAAATGACGTTTCCAACATTAATAATGATTGTCTACTAGATGATGTTCTACTTTCTACACAGATGGTAAATTTGCTCTTAGAAGAGGACAGTCTAACTGATCCAAATTATCGTGAAAACGTGTTCAATTATTTTCATTCAGATGATGATGAAATAGAAGGATTTAAAAATATTAAAAGTCATTTGACCTTAACGAACAAAGAAAGTGATCAGAATGGTAAAGATATTCATACTGATAATAGTATTAGTTGTAATAATGGTCATTTAGCGTTCAAAGAAGTGGAACCAATTACAAAATATAATGAATCTAATTTAATTCATACAGGAACATCGATAGCTGGTTCAGTCACAGATAATATGCCTAGCATGGTTGCAACATAAATTGTTTAGTCTTTCTAGAAAATTCAGGAAGACTTTTTGATTTGTTCCTAGTTTTAAAACTTTCATATTTTTCCCATCGCTTTATTCTTATTTTATGGTTTTCCTGGTTTTCTCACTAACATTATCGTTCTTTTCTCTCATGCTCAAGTTTTTTGGTTATTTTCTATACATTTATACATGCAGATTAGTATAACTATTGCTAATTGTCATTACCATTTACAAAATACCATCATATAACTGAAAACTTAGAGTCCATCATTGTTTTTTGTGTTACCCTTTCCTAATGAAGACATAAACAACATAATGCTCTATTTTTATCTATTTTTCACTGTTAGTTTTGTTATATTTCAATGATTTATTTCCACAAAAAAATAATAACCAAAACTCTCCCAATTCTGTCCAACTTCATTTCCTTAAATACGGATAAACACATAGTAGAACTACAGACACACATAAAGATTATACACATACTATACTTACTGATCAATAATAAAACTACGGATTTGACCTTAAAATTGACATCTAATCTGACGCACGCTCAAGTGTGTCTGTGTACACTCTCGGAATGTATATGACATGCATTAACTGAAAAATTCCCTGCTATGGCCGTTTCATAGACTAGTGTTCTTTTTTGTGTGTGTGAAATATACAGAACATTTATCTATCTATCTGAAAATGTCATATATTGATTCATGATTTAAAATCGATGTTTTGCTTTTACTATCTGATAGAAAATTTAAAAAAAAAATCAATAGCCTATTTCTTGCATAAATTTCCATTAATCATCCATTCAAATGGAAACTAGGATAAATAAACATGGAATAACGAAAGATATTAAGAAATTTGACATTATAATGATGTTGCACAGTAGAAATGTTCAATTTTGAATAAATGTTGAGATCTGAGACTGTATAATATGAATGTAGAAATCTCAATAGATCTTTCAGATTTCTAAAACAAAATTAAACAGCACAGATAAACTTCTCTAAACACAAAAATAATACGATAAAGATCTATTATTTTATTTATTTGCTTTCCTATTTTTAATTTATCTAGTCAATTTTGTTTTTATTCTATCAACAAAGCTTATTGTTGCTTATTGAATAACCAACTGTTCAGTGTAACATTATCAGAGGTTGGTTGCTACTCATCGCTAACTATCATCAACCATGAGTTCTTTCTTTTCTTTTTGACTAGTTTTTTTTATATTAAATGCCCAGAAAAGAAACATTGACAAATACACACAGAGTATATGCTTGTTCCGAAAGGATTCAGTGACCCTATTTTTATCAGCAGTTTTTTTACTGTTTCTACGATTGTTCAGTGATTATTATTACTGTTATTATTGTCACATACATTACTATTGTTATTAATTTTACAATTGTTAACTACTTTGTTTTGAGTCTTGGTATAATAAGTGGTAAACTGAAATGATTTCTGTTACAAATCTGAACTATGATATCCAACTGATATGACCGCATTTGTGTGTCTGAAAGAGAGAGAGTAATTATTGAATGTAACAAACCAATCATTCGACAGTTTTCTATTCTTTTTTTTTTCTATTCGCAAATCTTTCCATTATTCTCTTTTTTCGAATGTATGTATACATGCGTGCGTAATTATTTGTGCCTAAAGAATTCAGACAAAAGCAATATGAATGTGAAACACAACATGTCTTCATTTTCTTTTAAGAAAAGTTTTTCGTCTTTCCAATACTCCACTTATTTTCTTAACTTTTATTTAGCTTCATTTTTAACTGCTTTGCGTGGCTAGACTCACTTAAACATATACACATATGGAAAATAATCTATGACTACATTTATTTATGAGATGTAATGTAAGATCCAAAAAAGACGGTCAAACACAGTAGGAGTCTCATGAGGTTGTTGTATTTTTTTAATTACCATTATTTTAAGCTGTGAGAGAATTAGTCTTTTTTTCATAAGCTTGTGTACTTTTTTCCATGTTTTTAATTAGTTTAATTAATAATTTATAATTCCTATATATGAGCATTTTAATTTGTTAGTTATCTATTGATTGAATCTACATAGTATTGGTGATCAAAAATGAAGAGAATTTACGGTCTTGATAAGGTTTAGTTGTTAAGATTCAGTTGTACTGACAGTGAACAATGAGTTATCGAACAAGTTTAGTTATTTGCTTATCTAACTACCAACAAGCTTTCTTTATTAAAGGTTGGTGTTATAAATAATGCGATTGGTTTTGTGATGAAAACTTACGAATTTCCCGTACTTTAATCCTTTTTCGAACTTAATGGTTACTGTCAAAAGTAATATTGTAGTGAACGAGAACTCAGGTACAGCAACCCAACTTATTGTTTTATGCAAAGTTACACAGCGCCTTCGTAAAATATGAATATCATACATTAAATACATCATTTTTATATCTTCCTTGAGTTATCTTTAACATACTCTATCATTCATCTAATTCTGTTGTTATTCCGATCGCTCCCCGTTTTTCTTCTTGTTCTCTTCATTTCAATCATCTGCTAGTAACCGTTCCACATCTTATTCCATTGCATACCACTTATATCTGTCCACATAAGAAGCGCGCACCACAATATGAGCATCAGAGGCCCGCTAACTGAACTGCGAAAGTAGGAAATTGGCGAACATTTGTATATAAACATTTTATGTTTGATTTTTATTTTGTGTCATAGAGAACTGTAATTTTATGGTTGTATAGATTAGTGTATATAATGAATTTGCCTAGTTTGTATAGATTTATTCAATTTCAGTTCAGGATCTCCATGAGTTTCATGATTACTTATTACATGTTCTTAGCAATGTAAATAAAGTAATGAAAAAGAAATATCTTGATATATCTTCTATTCAATCTATGGAGCTTTCAAATTTCGCTGATGTCTTATAAATTTTAAGCGTTCATTACTAATTATCTTATGAAAAATCTAAGTGGCTCTAATCGAATCAATCAAATGTTAAAAAATTGAAATAATGTAGGGATTTGTTGAACTACATCTATGGATTTCTAATCTCAATTAGTAAAACAGATATATGAATGAAGCATATTCTTTACAGTAAGTTCTCATCAAGTTCTTTAGTTACAAATCTGAATTGATGTTTCGAAGAGAAGTTTTAACAATTACACCAGTCCTTAACCTGCTGTGATTTTCAAGTCTCGTATATATAGCCTAGTGAAAAGTTATTGGAAAGAATATTCTTTGTTCATAATATTTGTTTGAATACGATAGGAATTTTCAAACAGCTTCGAAAATCTTAGCCACATATGATCAAATGAAATACTATAATATATTAGAGTTCCTTACATTTGGAGAATTATGGATATGAACTATTGGATTATGAATCACTAGGGTTTGAATAGTAATATGCTTGTAGTGGGATTTCGTTGTCCTTCAACCTTATATCGAGTTGATATTGACGGGAATAGATAAAAAAAATTCCAAAATAAAATAAAATATTTGTTTAGTTCTTTTTATTTTTAGATCTTTGATCTTACAATAATTCTCTAATGGATGTTAATTTAAAATGAAAAACTATCTTGATGGAATATAGTACCAACACATTTTAACAGATAATTGATTCGTGATGAAAATTGCATGCAAGTAGAAAATTCATTTATATTTTTTCTGTTTGTTTACAGACTAATGAGATTTGATAGATTTTGTGTCACAATTGATCAGTAAAAATTATAAAAATATAATCATAAAATGAATACTGAAATAATTATACCTTCTAGGCATTATTAATTATAAGCAAAGATAGATAGTGACTAGAAGTGGAATCCAGGACACGCGTTTCATCCTATATGGGACTCGTCAGCTCGATGTAACTGCATCTCAGAGTTGATGTTCACTCTGTGACTCGAACCCAGTATCGTTCGCTCTAAATGTCATCGCGTTATCCACTTAGCTACTGATTCCTGATAGCCAATTGCTTGTGCAATGGAGTGATGTTTAATTCACTTAGTATTGTTTTATTTGAATTTTCTCATTGATGTTTAGGACTACAATTGATCAGTCTTTTATCGGCATATGTGCATACTGTGCGTATCGCCTTGACATTGTCCTTGATTCCATTGCTAGCCACTGTCCATCTTTGCTTATAATACTTATAAATTACGGCAATATCGAGGCAATACACACAGTATGCATATATGCCAATAAGAGACTGATCAATTGTAGTCCTAAACATCCATGGGAAGATTCAAGTAAAACAATACCAAATGAATTATTGACTGTAATTAATTTGTAATTAAATAAGAAAAGAAAATAATTAACATTTGAAATCGTTTTACCATCCATTTATGTTTCAATATAATTACATTTTGAAGTATTTGTTTATTTAAATCTGTAAAGATTAGAAACTGTTTTACAAATTTTTATTCCAGTATTCATTTTTCTTTTTAAACAAAAATCTTTATCACTTGAATTACATGCATTCAATGTTATACAATTCTTTCTTTTTGTTTTATTATTTGAAAATATACAATTAACAAAATTAAAATAGGTGGTTATTTTCTCAACAAAAATTAGCATCATTTAGAATGAGAAAAAAACAACTAGTTGAACTAATATGGTATTGGGTACTTTTTTGTTGTTAATTTGATTCAACTTTTTATAAAATTTTAGTGAAGGAATAAAATTTATTAGAGTCAGATGGGTATAAATATCTGATGAGAAGAGGTGAACTTAGATATTAACATTTTAAGTGATTAGTCAATCGGGGGAGGGGGTTAGAGATTTCTGTTTATTTAAACTTTGATGTATATTTCTACGTGGTTTGAACAATTTTATCGTGTAGATTATTCCACTATTGAACAATTTAACAAAAATAATTTAACTACTGTAATTTTACGCTGAATGAAAATGTATCTAATGCGTCCTCTTTTTTTCCTAAATAATAACTGTTCTGACTCAAAAGTCATATTTAATATTATTGTGAATCAAGGAGAAATAAAGTATATGTTATATATAGTTTTTTTCTTTTCAAATCAAAATTTTACTATTTACCATTGTTTAAGATTAGTTTTATTGATAAACTGACATAAACCGATTTATCGTTGAAAAACCACGATAATATGAACTTCAACTTAATCATATATCACTAATATCATAAGGTGATGATAGTTCAATATCAGAAACTGACTACAGCTGAAAATGTGGAATGGTGAATTTGAAGGCGAAACTATAATTTATGGACGAATCTTAAACAACCAATAAAAAAGTAGTTAGTACATTGAAAATATTTTATACAAAACCAAAGAATTAGAGTGGTTACACTTCATTTACGTGGTTTAAAAACTTTTCAAGGTTAGAAAGAGGTTCAGAGGTCTTAGTGCATACGGTAGAGAAAGTCATCCATATGACTCTGTAATTGTCGACCTCTGGAGTCACAATAAGGTCGTAAGAACTCTTTCAGCCTTGACTAGATAGCTTCAGTATTGTTTGTGTGCACTCCAGTTGTTGGTTACACAAAACGCCGCTTGTCGACAACGACACGATACGCATAATCAAGTCTATGTAGGCATCGGTACGCTCTCTAATCATCCGCATATACTGTCGTACCCGGTTGCACATATTTCCGTATAATTGGCATAATCGTTGTAGCCTGTCGGTTTTTTTTAACCCGTTTGAAGTGTCCCATTTGAGACGACCTGTCGTATATTCCAAGAATCTGTGAGATATATTTATGGAAGTGCTATTTACCCAGTCTTCTTCAACACTACATCCTCTGTTGAATTCTCGTTTTCTCACAACTGATTCGCTTATTTTAACGATTATCCCGACTCTCTAAAAAGACACGTGTAGGCTTGTCATTTTTACTGTGCATATATCTCTACAATACTAATATTACTGAACAGCTGAAGCTTCAGTAACATCTGCATATGTTGCAGCCAGTGAAACTGATGCTTTCATTATTCAGTTCGCAACAATCATCATGATTTGCCATAGTCGCAATCTGGATCAAGCAAAAATATCTACGATGAAAACTACGTTTATATTGAAGAATCTATCTGAACCCTTGATATTCCTGCTTGATACTGATTTCTTCGCCTCTCTCTAGGGCACCAAAACCCTTCATACTTTAACCCTGAACGGTAGAAAAGATGGATTTCCTTCAAGGTTAATTTAGGTATAAAAAACAAGCGAATTCATGAGATTATTGGAAATTCCTAAAAACATACTAAACTTAGTGACAGAGTAAGTCATAATTCAGTCAGACAAAGACATTTAATCAGTCAATTTTCTAATATTTTGTGGAGTATGCTGATTCGATAAAATGTTCATTATCTTTTCTTGAAAATCTTATTGAAGGATTGTTGGGGGATACCAACAATTAATTATTAAAACTTATGGCTCAATCTAATATCACGTGATAAAAAAATAATCAGTATTCTGATCTCAGTACTAATAACCTTAAGTAAACACTAAGCTCTTACTGGTCCTCGATTCTCTCTCAATCCTGTTCGTTGAGTCCGGAATTCAGTAATCAGCCTCCGCTATACGAAAACTATATTTTGAACATGCGTTGTTTATATACAAAGATAACCCATCATATCACACCATAAAATGAAAAATAACAATTATACATGATCAAGCCAAAAGTGGCTGTATGGGAGACTGAGAATAATAAGCTAGCAATAGATTACGAATAGTAAGTCATATAACAGTAGTTAATAGGTTAAACGAAAGCTCATGGTAAAAAGTATATATATATCTTATTTGCAAAGGTTTATATTTTTTGGTTATTGATGAAAAGAATTATAATTTATCAATCTCCGTTACAAAACTTGTTACTAAATGACAATAGTGAGGTCACCCACTCATGATATACAAGTTCCAAAACAAACTGATCTACTGCATCTCTAAATATCAGTAATGGTAAAGTATGAACTCTTTCAAATAAAATTGATCATCATTGCTCGAGCTGATAACTATCTGAAATCAATAGGTAAACTCGTTAATCCTTTAAGGTGAAAGTTACTAGATTCGAGTCTCAGAGTGAAATATCAACACTGAGATATGGATATCCCCTATTGACGAATCTAAAATGAGACGGAATGTACATCCTGAATTCCACTGCTACCTAATACCTAACTTGAATAACAA